TTTTTTGCGCTGAGTAGATGTGCCATGCTTTCTTTATTCATTCTTCAGTTGAGGGGCATCTAGGTTGTTTCCAGGTTCTGGATATTACAAATAATGCTGCTATGAACATAGCTGAACAAATGCTTTTGTAGTATGAAGCTGCCATACTGATTTCCAAAGTGGTTGTTCACGTTTGCATTCCCACCAGCAATGGAGGAGTGTTCCCCTTACTCCACATCCTCTCCAGCATAAACTATCATTAGTGGTTTTGATCTTAGCCATTCTGACAGGTATCTCAGAATTGTATGGATTTGCATTTCCCTGATAGCTAAGGAAGTTGAACATTTCCTTAAGTATCTTTTGGTCATTTGAAATTCTTCTGTTGAGAATTCTCGATTTAGTTCGGTACCCCGTTTTTTAATTGGGTTATTTAGAATTTTACTGTCTGATTTCTTGAGTTCATAATCCAGACTCTGTATTTTCCATCTTTATGTGGCTTATTATTTTTTTACTCTATTACTTTTAAATATTTATTTTATTATCTTTACTTCTTTAATCTATGACTGTCTGTACTCTGTCTCTTTAAATACTTCATTTTATTTTTTTCTAAACCATTTACTTCATTTTATAACTCTCTATACTATTTATCTTCTCTCTCCCAAGACTATGTACATTTTTTATAACACACTGTGACCCATTTAGGGGTCTTTTATGTCTGAATTTATCTTTGTTGCATATTTATAATTATCTTTGGACCAGGAGAACTTTTTTATTTAATGTAAGTGGGCATTGCTAAGACCAACTCCACAGTCCTGCCTGCTTGCTCCATGCAGTCCAGTATGATGGAGAAATGTTTTCTGCTTCTGAGAGTCATGCATATTGCCCCATTTTTAGGCACACAGAGGATCTAATTTCCATTAATCAAGTTGCAACACTCTTCTCACAAAATCCATTTAAATGCCCCATAGCTGGACCTCGTCAGAGTTCATATTGGAAGCATGGCCCAGGAAGCTGCCATTTCAAAATGACATGACTTTTTTTTTCTACTATCATGAAATCAGTAAGACCTCTCTTAAAGGAACCACAGCATGCTGCCAGCAAGCAAAGCCCATTTGGGAAAAAATGCAGCTAAACTTTGTTTTTTAGTGTCTAGATTCCTTTCCAAGACCTCTCAGGTTTTACGTAGATATAGTTGACCACATTGGAGCACCAATTTGTTGTAAGGAGGCTGCTTGTTGGTTCCTGGCTCCTCAGCCCCAAAATAACCAAATAGAAACTGTATTAATTAAATCACTGCTTGGCCAATTACTTAAGCATATTGCTAGCTAGCTCTTACATCTTAAACTAACCCATCTCCATTATTTTATATTTTTTCATGAGGTTCGTGGCCTACTGGCAAGGTTCCAGCATGTCTATCTCTGGTGGTGGCTCCATGGCTTCTCAGTGACTCCACCTCCTTTCTCCCAGCATTTGGCTTAGTTTTCCCTGCCTAATATCTACCTTGCTATAGGCCAAGCCAGTTTATTTATTCATTAACCAATAAAAGGAACACATAGACAGAAGGACCTCCCACACCATATCTTAATGAGTCTAAAAGATTGTACCTAATTCACTTTCTCTATTAATTTGCATTATCAAATTATGTTTTAATGTCTCTCCACTTTTTACACTTACACCTCTTTAGTGAGTTTCTTTTATGAGTCTGGTAAACAAGGAAAACTATAACTAACTAGTCTTCAGCTCCTTCAGAGACCAGAGAGAGAAATATTATTAACTGGGTAAGCAGGAAGTGCAAGAAAGCAACTTCCAAAAAATGTGAGAAAGGACAGAAATAGATGGCTGCCTGAACAGTCACCCAAACTTCCTTTGCAAGGTTGGGGCATTCATCTTAAGCCTAAGGCCTACAATATTCAGTAGACTTTTCTATAAAGCAGGATTTCTTTTAAAAAAAATTATTTTTCCATTCAATTATTTACACTTTCTTCCCTCCTCCCAATTCCCTCCCGCTCCCCCACACCCCTCCTCCCTCTCCTGCCCTGCTTGAGAGAGGGCCAGGAATCCTGCCTTGTGGGAAGTCCAAGGCCCTCCCCCCTACATCTAGGCCTAGGGAGCTGTACAGGATTTCTTTAGAAGAATTGTTTTGCCTTGTTTTTATGATGTGGGAGTGATTTCTTACTAATAAAGAAACTGCCTCGGCCCTCATAGGACAGAAAATTAGGTAGGCGGAGTAGACAGAAGAGAATGCTGGGAAAAAGAAGCTGAGAGTGAGTCGCCATGATGCTCCCACTCCAGACAGACGCAGGTTAAGATCCTTTCTGGTAAGCCAGCTCATGGGCTACACAGAATATTAGAAATGGGTTAGAACAATATGTAAGAGCTAGCCAATAAGAAACTGGACCTAGCCGGGCCAGGCAGTGTTTGAAAGAATACAGTTTCCGTGTAATTATTTCTGGGTATAAACTAGCCATGCGGGCGGCCAGGTGCCGGGGACGCAGCCCTGCCGCTCCTATTACAACATTTTTACAATGTTTGGCAATCACTCTCTTTTGTGTCCTGCTTGTCCAATTAGGGCAGCATACTGTCCATATGTAGAAAGTGTTGTTATTGCATATTGAAACCACTGAATTTATACCAGATGATATCAAATTGACTTTATTACTTATTCAGTTACAAGATACAATCAGGAATAGGAATCATACCATATATATATAACACACATCCAATCTCATATGGATGAGCCAGGTTGTCTAGCACAAGGTAATGCATAAATTGATCAATTATTGTTTGGAAATGTGCTAAAGGTCTCATAATTTCATAAAAATATATTGTATCAATAGCAAAGGTTTTTTTAAATTTTTTAATTATTTATTTAACTTTATTTCATGTGTATTGGTGTGAAGGTGTCAGATCTCGTGGAACTGCATTTT